GCTATTTTAGTCACTTCCCTGTCTCCCGGGACACAATACCCAAACCCACAGCTAAGAGAGAGGGGTTTATTTCGTTTCATGCTTCAGTTTGTGGTCAGCTGGCTCCAGGGCAGCATGGCAGAGGGGGCTCCAGGGCAGCATGGCAGAGAGCTGCTCGTGGCATGGTGCACAGGAAGCAGAGCCAAGGAAGGAGCCAGGAGGGAGTTGGGGAACCCTTCTAGGTCACACCCACAGTGACTGCCTCTTCCAGTCAGGCCCAGCCTCCTGACAGCCATGCTCCCCATCATCCATCACCATGCAAACATCCTTCTGCGATTCCAGGAGGCTCTAACATGAACCATGACATCGGCCAACATCTTATCTCCCAGCAGTCCCCTGTCTGTCACCTCCCATCTCATCTCCTACCTGGGCTCCCCTGCTTTCTGCTACCTCTCGCTGCAGTGGGCTCCTTGCTGTTTCCAGAACGCCGACCCCACCTGCCTCGGGATTCCTCCATGGCTGTTCCCCTGCCTACCATGCTCCCCAAGACCCTCACATGGCACCTTCCCACACTCTTCTAGGCTAACCCTCAACTGTCACTGCCTTGGTTGATTTTCCCCACAAAACAGCAATCCTGCATCTAGCTGTGCACTGTAGACCAGCTGTGCCTGGTGTGTGTGTGTGTGTGTGTGTGTGTGTGTGTGTGTGTGTGTGTGTGATGCACCCACTTCCACACAGCCAACTTCCTGGATAGGAAGCTGGGGGAAGAGGCACGCACCACTGCCCACACTTCCACAGCAGTTTCTGTCCCACACCCAGCTTCAGCCTCATGTCACAGCACTCGCTGCTGCCCAGCACACTCACTGGCTCGTCAGCTGGTCAGCAGCGAGAGTCCCAGGGAGGTGAGCTGCTCGCCACTGCCCCTCCACTATCCAGAACGCCCTGGGACTCGGGTTTATGGGAATGAAGAGTGAACGAAATAGCAAAGCACAGGGTAGCAGGCACGGGAGAGAACACAGAGACTGGTCCTCACCGGTGCAGCGGCTGAGATGGGGCCGCAGGGAACAGAGTCAGATGTGGCCTGCCTGCAGCTGCAGCAGCAGAAAGACTTCTGCTGGCTTTGAGTCAGTGAACACAGACTCAGGATGAAGTCGGGGGGTCAGCCCCAGAGTGGAGGTCAGTGGGGCTTTCCAGCCTGCAGGGCCAGATGTGGGGGGGGGGGAGGATTAGTAATCAGCTATGGAAATTAATACCTCACCTTGTGATGGCCAGGACCGGGTGTGAAAGGTTGGGGCAGAAATGGCGCCCCTGCGTGGGGCGGGACACCCTAGACACGGGCTCCACCCCTTCCGAAAGAAATCAGAGAAGAATAAACCTCGGAGGGATGGATGTCCACGGTCACCCCCTCAGCCCCATCAGCCTGCCTCTGCAGTTGCATCCGGAGGGAGAACTGAACAGAGGAAACCAGCTCCAGTCACCAAGACTTTCACGTGGCAGTCACGGTCGCTGCTGTAGGTGGGAAATGACCTGAGTGTATATGAATAGAGCGAGCAGTTGACCATGCAGTAGCTCAGTGGCACAACTGCCACAGAGCCCAAGAAATCATCAAGGAAACCTGAGAGCAGCTCAGGGACACCCACCTGCCACGGCACCCATGGGCAGCTGGTGGATCGTCACGACCGTACTTGAGGCAAGGCTGGGACTTGGAGAGGGTACAGAGCTGACTGTGGAAGGGAAGGCAACCGTTGTTCTAAGCAACTTAACTTGCCTAAGTTTTACCATGAAGCTGTTGATAAAAGCAAAGTGTCTGCAGATGGAAACAGTGAGAAGGGGTGCAGAGGGGACAGCCCGGCTTGGTGGCTGGGTAGCTGCAGGCGCCCAGTAACATCGGCTGGTGCTGGAGGCTGAAGATTGTGCACCTCAGCCAGGGCCTGCCTGGGTCCACCCCGGGGACCTGGGGTTCTGGGGCTCACACACTCCCTACAGTGCCCTGGGACACCTGAGGCTGATGAGGACAGCACTGGCTTCCAGGAGAGAAGGGGATGAGGAGGGCGACTGCCTGGCTGTTGGACAGCTAGCCTGCGAGTGCGCACGCAACATCTCTTCTTTCTTTTGCACTTTGTCTTCTCTAATAGCTCACTCTTCGAAATTCTCCCACGCCTGGGAATGAGAACCCTGTAGTCTCACAGACGATGGCATCCAGGGCTGATGCCCGGCTCCCTGGGCTCTGAGCAGATCTCGTCTGAAACTCTCCTCCTCTTGCAGTCCTTGTCAGCCCCATTGAATGCCGTCCTGCGAAACCACGCTCAACCACCCTCCCCCTCGGAAGGCAGAGCAACATCCGGGCCCCCAGTCCTCCCTACACTGCCCCCTTCCTTTCTTCCTTCGCTGGCAAAAAGCAGCTACTCCCGGATTCTCAGCATCACCGTCACCACCACATTTGTGCTGGGGCTCACGCTGGGCACTTGAACTGTCTCACCTGGGCAGCCTCCCTGGTGGTTCCAAGCCATTCTGGTTCAGATTCAAAATGGCCCCCTTGGGCTCCTGTGCAGAGTGGGGCTGAGTGGTGAAAGCAGACAGCTCCGCCTGTCCCTGAACTTTCAGCCACCGCTTTCCGTCCTTCACCAGTGGGTAGAAGGAAGACCGTAGGATTTCTGCCTATGCTGTTTGTTGCATCCTCTATTCCCAGTTTTCTGAGAGCTTTTATTTCTTACACTATATGTGGGTGTTGGGTTTTGCCAAATGCTTCTCTACAGTAACTGATTATGTGGTTAACAGGATGCATTGCACTGATGGACTCTTGAATATTAAATCACTTCTGCATCCTGAGAACAAACTCCACGCCATCTTAACGTGGAGCTTTTATGACCTATTAATAAATTCTATCTGCTAATGTTCTGTCCAGGACTTTTGTACCCACACTCACAAGGGGTGCACTTGGGATGTGGTGTTTCTCGTAATGTCTTACATTGACGTGAGAATGACACTAGTTTCATGAAATGAGTCGGAAAGCAGCTCTCTTCTATTTTCCAGGAGGTGTTCTTGTACAGTTAGTGTGAATACTTGGTGGGGGTCTCCAGTGGAAGCGTCTGGGCCTGGGCCTTCTCTCCAGAGAGTGTGTACCTACGGGTTGCTGTCCTTACTGGTCAGGGGCTGGGCCGTCAGCCATGTCACTGCAGTGTGACAGGTGACCGCAAGGTCCCCTCATGGCAGCTGCATACAGAGCGGGCCCTGTGTGGCTCCTGGGCATCTGACACCACATCCTGCTTTGGGTCATCTGTGTCGCCACAGTTTCTTCTTTGCCCAGTGCTGCTAGAAGTTTGTAGGGTCCCCTCTTGGCTTCCTTGATGCGCCCCTTGTTTTCTGTGTTAATTTCATCATTTTGCTCTTAGGTTTTTCTCGCTCCTTGGCTGCTTCCTTTGGGGCCACTGTGTCCTTTCCCTGGGGTTGGCAGTGGGTGGGAGCCTCCCCTTTTCTCGCCTACTCAGTCTGTGCTGTGATTCCCCTCCTCAACCCTGCTTCCCTGCACCCTACGGTATGGAGATGCTATGTTGTCATTGTCATGTCCTCCCGTCTGCTCTTTATTTCCTCCAGAGACTTCCCCTGTAACCATGGATCCTGTGTGGTTTCCAAGTATTTGAAGATTTTCGGTGATCTTCCTGTCACTGCTCTGGTGTGATTTCACTGTGGTCGGAAGGCGCTCCACGTGCAGGACTGTTCTTGACATGTGTTGTAATGGCCCAGGAAGTGACTGATCCATCCTGGCCTTGCTCTGTGCGCAACTGGGAGGGAAGATGTGTGATCCGCTGTCTGGAGGAAGTGTCCTGCAAACATCTGTCGAACCTGTTGGCTGTTTGTGTTGACATCTATTATTACCCTTTTTCATTCGGTTGAAATTTCCCGGTTCTTAGCATGACGAGTCACTTTCTGTTGAGAGCTACCTGTTTTCACAGGGTCAAGCCTAGTTCTTTAAACCTCCTCTTCAGTACCTTGGGGAGGTTAGGCCTCATCTCTGGTGGGAATGAAAGCTCTGCTTCCTCCTCCTCCTCCCTCTCCCCCCTTCCTCATCCCTCTCCCCCCCTTCCTCCTCCTCTTCTTCTTCCTCCTTGTCCTCCTACCCCTGTGCCCCCCTCCTCCTCCTCTTCCTTCTATTCCTCCTTCTCCTCCTCTTTCTCCTCCCCTTCTCCCCTCCTCTCCCCTTCTCCTCCTCCTCCACCTCTGCTCCTTCCTACCCCATGCTGGGGATGGAATTAGGAGGCAGGTGGCATGAGTCTTGGTGTTTGGATAGAACAGAGCAGCTAAGTCATTATCTAAGCTTTCCTGCCTTCCTGCTGATCTCCAGCTCTCCTGGTCCTTTGGCTGAAGAGGCCGAGCTTTTGCTGGGCTTTTTTGTCTATGCCCGTTGGGATTTCTATGTTGCCAGTTTCTTCTGCTCCAAGCCTGGTGGATATGAGGAAAGAAGGAAAGAGGACTGTCTTCGGCCCATCCTCCCTCGGTCCCAGCCCCAGCTGCTCCTCTCTTTCTCCACCCTTCAGAGTATGCTTTTCATCACATACAACATTGGCAGCTTCCAAAGGTGCTTAGTGGGAAAATCAAAGCATTTCCACTCCATCTTCACGGAAGCCCAGCAGAATACTTTGTGTTTGTTTTCTTTTGTCTTTTTCCTATACATTTTGAAAAACTTGAGGATTTTCTAGACATACAGTGCTACATTTTAAACTTAGCATTATACTGTAGATGGTATCTTAATAGCTATAGGATATGCTAGCATGTTGATATCAAGTAATTTCTAAACTGGCTTCTTCTTAACCACTTAAACTTTTCCCACACTTTATTGTGTAGCTCCTTTAGCCCTTCTCTTATTGAACGTATGGCTCATTTCCAAGGATCTACTGATGCAAGCACAACTATAATTAACTTTTTTTTTTTTTTTTTTTTTGTACTGGGGATTGAACTCACAACCTCGCACTTGCCAGGCAAGTCCTAGCCTAATTAATACCCTGTGTATAAATTTGTATTTCTTTATTTGTAAGTTATTTTTCAATACCATTCCTAGGATGGAGTTGTTGAGTTGAAAGTTAAGAATGTCCCCCACTGCCTGCTCTTTAGAGGACAGTTTGGGGTACGTCTCCAAGCCACAGCGGTGGAGGGGCACCTGCAGGGCTGGATTCAGAGGGCTCCGATGTTGTGTTGCCCCTTTCGTTTGATAATGAGACGGTTGCTGGCCTCACTTCACCAGTGTGACCATGGTCCTCAATTGACCTGCAGGTTTGTGTCCTTGAACATCACCTCCTTGGAAGGATCAGCAAGTCTTTGTGTCCCTTGTACCATGTTTCATTTCTGACTTCATGGGGCTGGGGACTCTCGCAACCAATTCTTTCACAGCACTCGCATGTGCGTGCTTACCTCCGTAAGTCACCAGGAAACAAGGGCTGTGCCTGCACTCTGCTGACCAGCAGTTCTAGCCCAGTGTGCTGTCTACATTTGAATTAACATTAAAAGTTCAAGTGCTCACTCACTCCCCACACCAGCGCTCAGCAGCTGTAGTGTTGGAACAGAGAGGCCAGAAATTTTCAGCCCAGCAGTAGGCCTGCTGGACCACACTGGGACAGGTCACAGCTGTCATGCCACACTTCTGTTCCATAATCACCACTCCAAGGCAGACAGGAAGGTGCCCACCTGCAGAGAGTGAGGCCATTTCCACCATGATGACCTCTGACCTCTGCCAGGTGCCAGGCACTCAGCTAAACACCCCTGCTTTGGAACAGCCCCAACCCTGGGCTCTGCTTCATGCATAGCAAGAACTCCTGGTGATAAAAAGCTCTCCTGTTCACCGCGAGTAATTCAGTTGGAAGAAATGCCCAGACCATAAGGGTGCCCTTCACGCTGCTCCATAATAAGTTGCTCTCTGAGAAAAGGCAGAGGATAGGAAGGGGCATCCCTAGGAGGAGGAAATGGGAAGTTGGGGCTGGGTCCTGGGCTTTAGAGGCAGAGTGCAAGACTCCCACTCCTCTCCACGCAGACCCCTGGCCACAGTGCAGGGAGGCAGCTGGCTGTGTCCCCACTGCATCATCTGAGGAATGGGATGCAGGAGGGCTCCATCTCCGCAGCTGCAGCTGCTCGTGCCTCAGGACCCTGACCCGTGGGAAAGGCACAAAGCCACCTCGCACAGATGGAGGAGACACAGGGCTCCATCCAGGATGCCCGTCCTGGTCTGCCCCAGGCAGGCAGCACCTTTGCTCCTGTTGACCTGTGTTGAGGGGGCCTCGGCTGTGTTTCCAGTGAGGCGAAGGTGGTGTTGCTCTGGCCTGGGAATACCTGGGAAGACAGACAGGAAGAAGGGGCCACGCTGCAGGTCAGGGATGTTCCCCAGCTCAGGACCTGGCTTCCAGGGCCACAGCGCAGGAGACAAAGGGAATTCAAAGCTCTAGGACCAGCTTGAGGGCACCACCAGGAGTAAGCAGAGAGGGTCTCCTCGGTCCCCCGGGCTGCAGTATGGGAGTCCCAGCCACCCCGAGAATGGCTTTAAACCTGTCACGGTAAATAGGAGCTAACACACCAGCTCCCCTGCTCTAGTGTACCATTTGCCAGCTGAATAGTTACCTTCCCTGAACAATGGATACACGAGATAAGCAGACATTTGGCACATGTGGTCCTCGTGGCAAGAGGGGCTTCCCCGAGAGGAGGTGGGGACACAGGGTAGGAGCCAGCCTCGGGCACATCTCTGAGTCCGCTGGGCAGAGAAATGAGCACCGAGTGAGTGGCCACCAAGTCTTTGCCCTTCACCACCTCCTGCAGGGGTGGAAGTACATTCCCAACTTCCAGGAAGGCCAAGATCCTAGGCCCAAGGTCATAGAGCCGGAGGCTTCTCCAGCCTACATTGAACCAGGCCTTGGGATGGTTCTGGGAGAAAGGAGCCCACACTGGGAGGCAGAAGCAGGATGGTGGGACCACTCTAGCAAGACCTGGGGATGATGACTCCAGCTGGACCATTCCCAGCTGCCCTCCACTAAATCCACAGCTGCCCAATCATGGGAGCAAAAGCTGGGCCTACCTTCTATCGGTGACCTCCCCTGGAGGCGTCTACCAAAGACTCAGTCTGGGGACAACTTAGCTGCAGGGTTTGGATCAGCACTGATGCTGAGCGTGGCACACCCTCCCCCTACCCAGCGTGACTCCCGGTGCCCTGGCTGCACTTGGCAGCCCCTCCTCTTAGCCCATATAGCCCGCTCCATCTGCTTCTAGCAAATGCAGGAGACCAGAGGCCCATCTCTGCTCCCCATGAATGATGCACGCGTGAAGCAGGGGACTGTGGGTAAAACAGATCTGGATGTAAAAGGGGTTAGAACTGAGTTCCAACCACAAATGTGAATGTGGAAGCCTCACCTAAGACACTGCTTCTCCTTACCATGCAGAGCCAACCCCTTCACCTCCCCACCGTGTTCCTCCCCTGGACCACACATCCACACCTCAGGGGAAGGAACTGCCCACTTGTGCATAGCCATCCGGCTGCAGGGCATGACCTGTCTGTCACCTGGGGCCCCCTCAGCCCTACGCTGTGGCCTCGAGGTTCTGAGCTCTGCCTGGTCCATTCGGCCTTGGAGCCCATCATGCTCAGCAATTCTGCAAGCACAACCAGGTACTGGAACCTCCAACCTGCCTGACCTGGACCTCGCCCACTCCCTGCACCCATGCCATAGCCTGTGTGCCCACTATGTTAGCCTCTGACCAGTGAGCGCCTCCATATCAGGGCACCCAGTACACAAGAGACTCCACATCCTTTCGAGCAGCACTGGGTACACCCAGCCTTGTCTCCTGGATTCTCCATCCGCTGCATCCCGCCTCCCCTCCCAGGAAGTGTCCCACCTCCATGTGTGTCCCCAGCACATCACAGGGGCCTTGCTAGGGAAGGGGCCTCAGAGAGTGTATAGGGTGCAATCAGGTGCACCCCAATGCATGGGCTCTAACCCAGGTGGACCAGAGCCCTGATGAGAGGGGAACAGGACACAGCCACACCCAGGGGACCACGATGTGGTGACGGAGAGGAATCCCTCCTCGATAGCACCAGGTAGAGGAGTGTGCCCCACAACAGCCAGAAAATGAGTCTCTGTTGCTGACCATGCAACTTGTGACACCAGCTATGAGGGACATAGGGCAATCCCACAGGAAGCCCTTGCAAACTTCCCTTCCCTCTCCCAGGTGACCGACCAGAGCCAGCCTTGGCCACTCAGTGACTCACTCCTGCACAGTGCTCCACTCTGGCCCTGAGACAGGGGCAGCCTTGTCCTCCTGCGTCTCTACACAAGCCTCCCTCCTATATCCAGCTAGAGAGAAGCCAGCAGCTCTGTACCCCAGGACATGTTGGCATCACAGCCATGCTCAGCCAGCTCAGCACAGGGTCCCAGCTTTCTTTGCGTGGCTCTGCGCAGAGGGACACCATCCTCCAGGCGCCCTGGCAGAGGGTGGCATGGCTTCCCACCCTCCATGCCCCGTCTGAGTGCAGGCAGGTACGAATAGCTGGCTGCTTGGAAGGAGCCAGCACGGCATGCAGAACTGTGGAGGTGCAGCCGAGCAAGCACCTGAGGGGCTCCCCAGAGAGCCACACGTCACACCGGACCAGCACTGGGCGCTGCTGCTAATTCGGTTCCCTGGGTCACTGGGAAGCAGAAGAAGGTGGCAGCAGGAGAGGCTGGTGTTTTCTGCAGGACTGCAGTGCACTTTACATTTCCCAAAGGCCATAATTATTTCCTGGAGAAGAAATTCAAATGACCCAGATAGTTCGTTCAGTGAGATTGGCCCCAAAAGGATTTCCCTACGAAGCAGTTTTGTCAGGGAGGACATCACACCAGGGCTGGTTCAGGCCCCACACACAGGCGCCACTCCAGGGCAGAACAGGGAGGCCGAGGCTAAGAGGCCCAGCAGCATCTCAACCCAGGCAACCCCAGGCAGCTGCAGACAAACCAGCCTCTCACCCACAACCCTGCCTGACAGGTCTCCAAGATGTGAGAAGCCGCCTCCCTGGGAATATGGGGAGGCTCTTGTCCCCAGCCTGCCCCCCGGCCTGCAAAGCTCCCTGCTCCTCAAACCCAGAACTAATGGGGCCACTATGGGGTACAGTGCAGGCTCCAAGGAGCTGGCCAGGAGCTGAATCCCTCCCTGGGGTCGATATCATGGAGCCTCAGGTCACTAGCGAAGTGGCCAGAGCCCATGGTGGTTGAATGATCCAGGTCAGCCCAGGGACTCAGCATCAGAAAGGAGGGGTATACTTTGTCAGGCGCCCTCAGAGGAAGTGGGTTTTTGGGGGTGAGGACCATGTTGGGCCAGGGCATCCCAGAAGTGTGAGACGGGCACAAGTGCTTGGCGCAAGTCCGTCACAGCTGGCCACGAGAGTTAGTAACGAAGTAAAAGGCAGGCAGGTGATACCAACTGCCACTTAATGCATGAAGACATGGATGCACGTTTACCCAAGCAGGCATGTGGCGGCTGGCCAGGCAGGCAGACGGGGACCAGGCACATGGACACCTCCATTCAGGGATTTGGTGGTTTGTGTGAGTCCTGGCAGATCTTCCTGCCCTGAGGGACATCTTTGCAACCCTGGCCGGTCTTCTCACATCACAATCCTGGCCCGAAGCATCTGGGCTACAAAAGACAAAAGACAGTACCCAAAGTACCAGCCCCTCCTTGAAAGGCATCTATGGGGCCAGGGCAGTGGACACAGCAGTCTAAAGGTTCATGCCTGCATTTAGAGACTCCCACCCGAGCCGGGACTCTGTAGAGGGAGAAGCCTGGGGCCAAAGAAGACCACGAAGCCCCCAGGTCCTAGAGCACTTGGATCTCTGCAAGGCAGGGGCTTAGATATGACCACACAGGCTGCCACGGAGCACGGTCACCATCAATAGGATGCCCCGCCAGGCCCAGTTTCCTGTGTGCCAGTCCAGCCTCCTCACCAGAACACAAGCTCCTTGTCTCCCACTGGCCGCTCTGTGTGCCCCTCAGGCCCAGCATGGGCTGGGACAGTTTGGACCTCAGTAAATATTTAGATTGTCTGCTAGGAACCAGGCCCACCCAAGCCTCACTCACTGCCTCCTGCCCCTGCATTCAGACCTCAGGGACGCAGGGTCTGCCCTTGGCACTGTGAGGCCATAGAGGCCAGGGCCAAGAGCTCATGTGGATATTACCCGCTTGGTGGCCACACAGGTGGTGCTGGCTTCTAGACGGCTAGAGCTTCCTCACCTGCAGTGAGACCAGAAGGGCGGCAGGACTGCAACGAGAGAGCTGTGTCTGCAGCCGTGGGGCCCAGTCCTCAGCCACCGGGGAAACAGCTTCCTCTTGTGACCTGACCCTGGCCAGCTGCCAGGGTTCCAGGGAGCCCCGTGATGCCCGGGAAATTCTGGTGGCGCCTGTGTTTGGTGCCGTCTCTCCCACGCCTGGAGAGCGGTAGCTGAGTGTGTGGTGTGGCGGAACTCTGGGGGCCTGCTCCCCTCACCCCTCTCCTGGCTCTATCTGGCCAAGGGCGCCATTTCCTGCAAGGACAAAGAGAGAACAGAACGATGTTCCTGGTAGATAGATGTGTCACTGTGAATCTTCACACCTGTTCTCTGAGCGACCCTTTTACAGATGGGAAAATGGAGGTCCAGAGAGGTTTGATTATGTGTGTGTGCGTGTGCTTGTGTGTGTGCATGTGCGCGTGCATGCACCCTGGGGTTGAGCCCAGGGCCTTTGCACTGAGCTACTCCTGCTGCTCTGTTTATTTATTTAGAGACAAGGCGTCATTAAGCCAGGCTAGGTTCAAACTTGCAGTCCTCCTGTCTCAGCCTCCCAGACTAGTGGAATGACTGGCATGTGCCACCTGCCCAGCTTCAAGGAATGAAACCCTTTGCTTGGGATCACAAAACTAGAAGGGCAGGGACTGAATCCTAGCCTGTCACCTCCACAAGCAGACTTCTTAGACACCAGACCCCTCTGCAACTCCAGGCCCAGTCTCCTGGGGACAGAGACAGACATACTTCACACGTGGCTTCCTGCTTCACCAGCAGGTAGCCAGCGGCATCCAGGACCTGAGAACAGAAATGGCCAGGCCAGCTCCTTCTGCTCTCGCAGTTTGCTCTAAGGCTTGTCCTCTCCCCCTGTCTTCAGTTTCCCATTGTGTTAATGGCAGCAGCAGCTGCCCCGCAGCCCAGTGGGGACACATGCAGGCCCCAGCGAGGTCCCTGCTGCTCTTTAGGAATGGGGACCAGAGAGGCCACCGATCTCGCCCGTGTGCCACAACCGTCACAGCCTCGGCCTCCTCCCACCAGCCCACAACTCCTGGAGCCAGGTGCACCTTGGGGGCCAGAGGAGCAAACGAGACAGGAGGGCAGGCAGCATGGGTGCTGAGGGTCCGTCACCTCTGTGGGCAGGGCCTCGGTGTCGCTGGGCTCAGAATCAAAACTGAGTGCTGGTCACTGGGTGCTGGCCCATGGGTGCTCCCAACCAGGAAGGCCGGGTAACATCCTCGGCAGTGACCCTCGCCTGGTTCTGACTCCTCAGAAGGTGCGGGAACAGCAGCACCCAGCAAGTGGGCAGATGTGGAGGGCCCTGCCCAGCCTGCAGTGCCCCTGCCGGACAGCAGGGCCTCCCTCACTGCCAGCTTGGATATGGGCAATGTTCCCTCACCCATCCCTGGCACAGCCCCTGGGGAACTGCAGACCTGGGAAGGAGAACCTGGGGTCCCCAGTAAGCGAGGCCCTGAGGAGGCACAGGTGGGCAGTCAGATGGTGACCACTCACAGGCCAACCTGCCACAGAGGACGTGCTGGGCAGCTGACACAACCCCAAGCCCTGGCCTTGTTCCTGAGGCTACGGCCAAGACCCAGGGACACGCTGGGTCTGCACTGTCTCCAGGGAGCCACAGTCACAAACAGCAACGGCTGCCAGCAACTCATGTGGACCTGTGTGGGCTGTGACAGTGGAAGGCTTGCAGCTGGGTGAGGGGCAAGCACCATCCCACACCCTCGGATGCATTGTGATGCAACCCGCTGCCCCACCTCGCAGATGTGCCTGCATGTGCATGCCGTGTGTGTGCACGTGCGTGTGTCCCTCCCACTCTGTCTCTGGGCCATCGGTGTCCCGCTTACCTCCCGCTCCTGGGGAAGGTGCGTGCTGGAGTGTCACCTGCAGCCTCAGTGGAGAGATGGACGGAGAACGCAGGTCCGGGTGGCGTTGTCACAGGGGTCGGCAGCAGATGGGCCGGGCCCATCCACTGCAGGCACAGGCCCATCCACTGCAGGCACGGTGCTGCTCTGCGCCCCAGGGACACCTCAGGAGGCCCCGTGGGCTCCTGCTGGGAGGCACCGCCTCTGTCTCCCCCTCCTTTGAGTGATTTTAATACCGTTCCCTCCATGCCAGCTCCTGTTCTAGCAGAGAACAGAATCAGATTCTTTCTTCGCCTCACAGCTCCTCTCTGCGTTATTATACAAAACCATCTCAGCCCTTGAGGAGGTGGCATTTGACACCTGCAGCTACTGAATCCCCAGAACAGAGAAGGGAAGGAATAAATAGGAGGGAGGGAAAGAAATGTTCTGTTTCCGCTTCAGCAACATGAATCAGCGGAGAGTTAAATGGCAACAAAGTATGTGGTGTTAATCTTTAATATTCCTGGGATCTTGTCACCTCCTCCTTCCATCCCAGAGCTGCCTTTTTCTAGCGATTCTGGTGCCTCTCACAAGACATCACACCTTCTATTATGCTCTTAAACAGTCCCCACCAGAGGGAAGTTCTCGGTGATTAGGCTGCCTGGGAGAAAAGGGAGCTGCTCCTCTATTTACCAGGAGCCTGCGAGGAGGAGCCACAGAGGTCTCACCCCCAGACAGGCCTGGCCAGGGCTTGGCTCTGCTGTGATCTAGCCCTTCCTCTTCACAGTATGTGACAGACAGCAAGCGACAAAAGACGCCATCAGAAGGTGGACGCAAGCAAGGCCAGGTGCCAGGGCCCTGGCTGGCTGTGCTTTGCCAACAGAGCGCACTCCTAGGGAACCCAGGTCAGGCACCAGGAGAAGTGTGGGTGTCCTGCCTGTCAGGCACATGATGGGGCTCTTGCTCTGAGAGTCCCGGGCCTGGGATTCCCTCTGTGGCTTCCCAGGAGGTCCCTCAAGACCAGGACTCTGGGGATGCTTACCTGGGGGTAGGTTCTGTGAGGCTGGGGAGGAGATGGAGGGCGTATAGATCTACAGGGTCCCTGTTGCAGGCAGCTAAATTAGTTAGAAATATTATAGGCAGTGAGACAGGACTAGGCCCTCAAAGGAACCAACTGCACTGTGGGGGAGACAGACACCCCCTGCTGTGGGCCAGGCCTCAAGACAGAGGATCAAACAAATGCACCCACATCCTAAGGACTGATATTCTAATTAGTTCCCTATCACCCTGAGGGAGTCTGGAGTCTCTATTCCAACCCCCTAGGGAAGAGTCACTGCTTAAGAATGCCCATTTTATAGGGCTGGGGATTTAGCTCAGCAGCATAAGCGCCTGCCTTACAAGCAGGCAGTCGTGAGTTTGGTACCTGGTACTTGGTACCTGGTACCGATAAAAAGGAAGAAGACCAAAAAAAAGAATGCCCACTTTTTGCATGATTCCCCGTTTGTCCCTAATGTAATCAATTTTACCTGAGCTATTGATCTTTTTGGCTAACTATAGTTATGTCCCACCGTATGCCTGTCTGCCTTGTGAGTTCTCAGTCTTCCCACACCTTGAACCCATGGTTTTACTCTATAAAAGTCCCTGGAAAAGTCAGAGTCCTTGGCAACCTGCTCAGGTCCCCTTCTGTCTCTCTTCAGTCAGAAGCTTTCTTTCTCTCAATAAATATATTCTACTCTTAACCTCTGTTGTTCCTAAAATTCACTCTTTGATTTTAGAGAACATGAACTCGTACTGGACACGTAGTAGATTGGGAGTTTCATTCCCCTATATCAAGAGGACCTGTCCACTGCTCCTTTCAGGCCCTGGCCAAGGGTGCTGGCAGCAGGTACTGAGTCCTCCAGCTGCAGGGACCCCATAGCAAGAAGACATGATCTTCACCTGTGTCACTGCTGTTGGGGGGTGACGGCTTCCAAAGAAAAAGAAAGAACAGACGCTTACCCAAAAGTGCCCCCTTCTCTTTGGACAGTGCTGGATCTCCAGGCACCAAGCCCATGGGGTCCAAAGCCTCTGCCCTGGAAGACAGTGTCACAGGATTGGTAAACAGAGAGGGTTCCCAGTGTGGACAAGACATCCTGGTATGAGGGTCTGGTCCTCAAGCCAGGGACTCTGCAGGACTTCATGAAGCTGAGCAGCACTTTCTCCCTTTTCACGGCACCTGTGGAGCTTGAGTGGCCTTGGGGACCTGAATGTGCCCCGGGAACCTGAGCATGCCCCTGGAACTAAGTGTGACCCTGGAACCTGAGTGTATCCCTGGGAACCTAAGAATGAACCTGGGGACCTGAGTGTGCCCCTGGGACTGAGTGTGCCCCTGGGGATCTGACTGTGTGCTTGGAGACCTGACTGTGCCCCTAGGGACCTGACTGTGTCCCTGAGACTGAGTGAGGAAGAGGAAGGAGATGAGTCACTTCTGCCCCACCTTCTTGCCAGCTCTCCTCTGCCATCTGTCTCTTTCTGAAACATGGGTCTTGTGCAGAAAGCTCACTCTTACGTAGTCTGTTTACTATCACATCTCCTCCTGGGCTTCGGAGGGCCAGGTTTGGATCTCGACTGGCACTGCACCAGTAGCTGGACGGAGTTCTTCCTAAATGTTTGGATGAATGCTGTCATTGTCCATTGTAGAACTCACATTGGCCCCCCCATTACTCCTGGGATAAGGCCCAAACCCCTTTCTGGGAGAGTCAAGGGCTTGCTTCTTCCTGCCCCCATTCCCACCTCTGCCACCCCCTTCCCATTACTTTGGGCCCTAATGTCCCCCTTCTTCATTCCTTCTCAGCAGTGCTCGCCTGCCTGCTCTTCCACCTGAGAAGTGGCCACACACCCTTGAGACCCCACCGAGTGCTATCCCTGTGATGCCATCTGCCCTGATCACAAGAGAATCATGGGAGCAAATGAGCACCAGGAGCATGGTGCGGGGGGGGGGGGGGCTACCAAGGAACCAGCATTTTGCTATTTTCAAAAACATTTTACTATTTTCAAAGAATAAGGGCAAGCAAGCAGCCAGTGTGGAAAACGCCCGTACCTGTTTGGCCTGCCTTACACACTTGACAACATGCAGTTTCAGGGTCTGTTTGGATTTTCATTTGTTTGCTTTAACCAATCAAGCTTAGAGGAAGGAGCGTCATAAACGTTTTGGAGTACAGAGCCTAGAGATTGCATCATTGCTCCCCTCCAGACAACACAATCATTTATTCAGTCACTTATTCAGCACCCTGTGCCCAGCATGGAACCAGAGTAGAGAGAAACACAGCCCAGGCCCAGCCCTCCAGCCCACAGGTGCTGGAGGAAGTGGTTGTCACCTGGCCACGGAGCTGGGGAACTCAGGTCCAGCTGCACAGGCCTCAGGAAAGCAAAGCCCAGTGTCAGAACTGTGAGCTGAGGCTGTGCTCTGCACACCAGGAGAGACCAGAGTGAGGAGAAGGCGGAGGCACAGTGGCTAGGAAGGTGGTGGTCAGCCTTTCCCCCAGGGGCCGGGTGGGCGGGACAGACCACCCAGGAGGAGGCAGGCCTAGACATGGTCGCCTGGCAGGAAGCCCTGGCCGCTCCCCACCTGGGGCTCCTCCCGCCTTCCTCCTGCAGAGCTGCCCAGAAAGCCTAGTGAAGCCGAGTGCTACGCCTGGCTGGAAATCGGACTTGGATTTCTTCCAACCCAGCTCAGTTCTTCTCCGTTTTCCTCAAGATGCAGGGCAGTTATTAAAACAAATAGCAGGGCTCTGTGCTACACATCCCTTGTTAATTCCACGATTAACCCCGACCAGTCCAGGACAGAAGGAGCCCAAGATGAATGCTGTAGCACTGGCCTCTGCCCCCAACTCTGCACTGTCTGGCTCTGCTCCTGCTCCCTGAGGCGAGGCCACCATGAAGGGGTCACAGGGAGCCAGAACACCAAGGGCCGCCACTCCCAGGAGCCCCATCTGCCTTGGCATTGCCAGGCACCGGGTGTGAGGGTGCCAAGCCCGCTGAACAGAAGGTAAGGATGTTCTGGGGTCAAATCTGCACCAAGCACCGTCACCACTTGGGCAAGGCCCTCTTTCTAGGGTTCAGACCCTTCATTTTGGGAGTAAGCTGTCACTTGCACCTCTCCATACAAGGTCATGTCCTGGCTTCAATCAGAAATACTTCTGCAAGGGGCACAAACCTGAGCTCTGCTGCTTCCGCAGGTGGGGTAGGATTTTCCCAAGTCCCTCTGGAAGGGAGGAGATCACAGCAATGCTGTCACATCGGGACACCAAAAGCAGACACTGAGCCGGGTTAGGTGTTGCACCATGCTTGACATGTGAGTGCATCCATGTTCAAGGTTCTAGGACTTCTCCTGGCTGCCCCTCCTGTTTGCCCTCTGTTGAACTCAACCTTCTTGCTAATTACCTGGCCAGAAAAACAGATAGAAACAGAGTTTATCCCAACTCTGTGTCTAAAAACACACGGTGTGTCTTTCCTCCATTGCTGATGATGATGTGGTTGAGGATGTGGGTGATGAACCCTGGTTGCTAAGTATCCAAGGACTGAGAAGGACCAGACCTGAGCTGATCAACACAGCAGCCACTAACCACTGGCCACCAGAGAGCCCTGGACATGGACTTGGCATGAAAGTAAAAATTGTAAGATTTCATTAATAATTTTCATATTGGTTGAATGTTAAAACTGCAGTATTTGGAGCATATCAAGTTAAATAAAATATAATCTCATCAACTTCAATAGTTTCTTTTTACTCTATAAAATATGGCTACTGGACTCTTTACATTTACCTATGTGGTTTTTATTATATTTTTGTTGGAGGCATGGTTCTAGAAGTTTCTACGAGAATTCTTGTTCTCTTTACCCACATAAAGGAACTCCTCCCTTCGCCTCCCTCATATGAGTCAGAGCCCTTAGACCATGTACACACACGCTCATGGTCCAAGAGCTTCCAGTCTGCTCTGTAGGGCCCAGCACATGTACTGGGATGGATAGCCAAAAACCACAGACATTTGAAGAAGAATATGAAATAAAAAGTCCAAAATGAACAAGAAAAACAAAAGAAAAAAAGGAACTATAAAAATGAAGCAGAGAAAATATAAGAAGCAAAGAAGAAAACTGTAAAACTCCTTCAACTAACGTTCTCGTAAGTGGGAGAGAAGAGGCTACACCTGTGAAATAGAACAATGTGACCCCTGGAAGAGAGGCCCACAGAGTTCGGGGAGCTCAAACCTTAGAGCTGAGATTTAAGTTCCATGGAGCGTCAGAAGGAAGTAAAACAGTGAAGCACAGACTTCAGCAACAGAAGAGTGAGGGGGAGGAAGCAAAGCTGTGAGCAGCACCTGTGAACCTCTCCTCTCTGTGACTCAAGAGCAAGTGACCACTCCCGCCTCGCAGCCCTGCGCACACAGCTGCCGGACACCGTGGCAGTGCTGGTTACTCGATACCCCGCATGAGTCAGAGCTCTTCAGGGAAACAGAGCCAGCAGGGCACCAGACAGAGGGCGAGTGGCCGCCACGGGGACCGCTCACAGGGTCACACAGGGCAGGAGTCCCAGGGGTGCCATCCGCAAGCCAAAGACGCAGGTGAACCTGGTCCAGGGCTGGGGGACGCAGTGGTGTAACTCAGGGTCAGAGGCCTTGAGAGTGGGGTCCGGGCAGCGGGGAGAGGACGCTTGTGTACGTCTTAGAAGGCAAATCCGGGGGACCTAGGAGCACTGGTTACTGGGATAGGAGAGGTGTGCGCATCAGCTCACAAAGAAGGAATGAGATTTCACTTTCCTTGTCTCTGTTTCCTTTTTTGTTTTGCAATCAGGGTGCAGATCACATTGTGCCTGCCAACGTTGGTGAGGTCAGATATTCTTCTATCTATTGATTCAGCTGCCAACCTCTTCCAGAAACACCTTCACAGACACACTTGCAAAACGCTTTATGGCTCTCTGAACATCCCTCAGCCTATTTAAGTTGGCACACAAAGTCACCCATTACATGTTCAGACTTATGGAATGAGTTTGTTTTATTTTAGTCTATTCTGTTTTTTGTTATATTTTATTTCATTATTTTAATTTGCTGGTACATTTTACATATACATATTGATTATATTCATCACAGGGACTTTGTACCTGTACATGATATATTTTGATTCCTCTTTCTTCCCCAATTCCCTCTCCTCCCTTCAACTCCTCTTTATGCTCATTATAATCTACTAAAAAAAAATTTATGTTCTAGTGGGACATGATCTGAAGTGCAATATTCTGATCCAAAATATATAATATCTAACTTTTTGAAGATTCAAGAAAAAGAATAAAGGGAAAGAAATTAGTAAATGAACAAAACAACTTTTTAAAAATTAGAGGACTCATTCTTCTATTGACAAATTCCACTCTGGGCCTCAGAGAATGATTTTTGAAAATTCACATGAAGGTATTTCATCATCAAATATCAGAACATTAGAGAGACAGAGTCTTCTAAAAGTCCACAAAGACAAAAAATAAAATAAAATGAAATAGCATAAAAACAATACAAAGAAGCTAAAATCACATAAGATATTGAAATCACAATTATGAAATCAAAAAAGCAATGAAATTATAGCTCAATTCTGGGGCAAATTTAATTTCCAACTGGGATCCCATTTACAGACAAACTCCCAGTCAAGCATGAGGTTAGAAGAAAGGCAGAAGCCATACAATGACCTGAAACATATCCTCCATGTGTCTTTTCTTAGGAAGCTACTGGATATATTTTAGCCAAAAACAAGCACACAAACAAAAAAACTATAAGCCAAGAGTAGCAAAAACAGGAGATAAATCAGAGGACTTGGAAACAGCAAGGCCTTGAAAACCAGGTCAGCAGCAATCCCAGTAGGAAACAGGCCATCAAGTAAATTATCCCATAATCAGATGGGTGCTTTCTCGGGTGGGAAGGGACAGGCTCCCTGTGAACCAAGAGCCCCTAAAATTGCCCCTCCTTCCCTAGGTATTCTGGTTCCCACTCAGGGTTGTAACAAAAGAGCCCAGGGCCTGCCTCAGCCTCCCCAGTTCAGGTCCCATGTTCAGAGGAGTCTGGATACCCCAAGCTCTCAGGACAGGGGTACACTGTACATATGCTGTGTGCCTGAGGCAGTACCCCAGCAGAGGCGGGTCTGCAGGAGCCATGTGAGAACTGGGCTGATAAAGGGTGATGTGGATTCGCCCCAGCCTGGAAAAGCCCTCTCTGCCCTTGGTCTGTCCTTTTCTTCTGGTTTGCCAAATTTCAGATTACTGAGTGGCCCTTCTGTGTCTAGCTATCTCCCCAGAGCCTTACACGATCCCAAATGGGGCTTTTGGAAGGTAGCTGGATCTAGCGTGTGTGCTGCTAGGATCAAGGACATGATTTGGGAATCGATTCATGGTGCAATACTAGGGTTAATGGTATGAGCATTACCCACCCTGAGGAGCCTGGGAAGGAGAGAAGGGACAGAGAGGGCCCTCAGCAAGACTCATCCCTTGCTGAGTGCTGCCTTCTGCCTGCCTGTGGGCTGTTTCGCCTCTGCCATGTCACCTGTGGAGCCCGCGGATTATGCACTACAACCTCCACAAACTGTGAGCCAAATAAACTTTTCCTCCTTTAACTCTGGATGTCAGGGGGTTTTTTCGTCTCAGAAATGAGAAAAGTAACCAACACACAGAATAAAACTTCCATGGGCCTCATCCTCGCCTGGAGGCTGCCCCCTTGGTGTGTAACCACACACTGTGTGATTGCACCACAAACAGACCCAGCTCCTGACACTAATTCCCTGATCCCAAAGCTACCCAGCAGCACTAGCAAGAATTGTGTAGAAAACGGGGTGCTGAGAACTAAATAGCTTTCCTGAGAACACACAGCCAATGCCATCTGAGAAGAAGCTGTGCTATTTCTGCTCAGGCTTTTTCCACAAAGAGAATGAAACTTTGACTTTATATTATACACACGTCATATAATAGTGCAGCCAATACACAGTAGGAACAAGGAAAGGTAGAAGTTAGAAAGGGACACACAGACAGGTGGGACACCGACAAAGTCCTGCAGGGGAGCTATTACCCAGGGAACTGTGGCAGCCTACACACTCTCTAAGGCAGGTGGTAAATAGTGAGCCGAAGCCAACATCCAGAGTTGGAAGCCAAACGCTCCCTAAAGGATTCAGCTCCAGGTATTCACCTCAAGGTCATCTGGCCAAGTCAGCCCACCTGCCCACCAGCTAGAGCCCTGGGGAACAGCTTAGGGTCAGAGTCAGGCTTCCCTAGCCAATGCACAAGGAAGCAAGGTACATATTCCAATGGGAGTGACTGGCCTATACCTCCACCTGCTAGCCAATCAGTTCCACAGTCCTCGGGGAGGTTGAGAAGCCTGGGTCCCAGCTGTGTCCATGGAGAATTCCCCTTGAATCTGTAGCTGGGTTCCAGGGTCATCTCAATGATATAGGCTGTCCATTAGCTGGTGGAACAAATCCCATAACCTGGGCTACTAAGACAGGCCAAATCAGACAGTTAGGTAGTGTTCACTATATCTAGAAGATTCTCACAGGGAGCAAATCAAACTTTTTCCTTTTGGGCTCTGCTGGGTCAAGACATCTCCATCCCACTGGGCCAAGATAAGGTATTACAGCTTACTGAGGTCTTTGAGATCCTTCTGGGACTAGAACTTCGAGCAGAGGGACACAGAGCTATGACATCTAAGGAAAAGACCTCAAAGAAGATTGCACGCAGGCTTTTAAGATCCTCCTGATTGGTCATCTCTCTTTTTATGCTTCCAACACTCAGTATCCTTCCAGTGAACTCCTAACAAGGAGAAATGCAAATGGGAAAGGGATCAAGAGAAGGAGGGAGGGGAGCAGTGGGACATAAAAAGGTACACTTGTGTGCAGCCCCCATGACAAATGTAGCCAGTATGTACTGTAAACACAGACTCCTAATATTTTTAAATAAAATTTAAAGTAAAACAAAAAATTTAGGATTAAATTCTAAAAGTAAAAAAAAATTGAAGTCAATGTCTTTGTTTTACCGTCAAAGAACTCTACCAGACACATAAAAAGGTACAGGCCACAGAGAAAACCTTTTCTGACATCTGTTACTACAGGCATGCGCTGTTAACCAGAGCTGAAGGTCTATTAGAAGCCCCAGGAGCGCTTCTGTGCGATTCCCATCTGAAAAGAGATGTCCTGGAAATGCTGGTGCCTAAGCTAGATTAGGAATCCTCCCGCAGAGGGCGACACACAGAAAAACAAGCTCTCATGGTAGACGTGGTCCCTGTGCTGTACCCATGGAGGTGATGGCAGTAGTGAGACCCAGGGAGTACATGGTGATCTCCCAAGCAAGAGACAGTCCTCAGCCCCCAGTACTGTAGTACTGTAGCCTGAGCTTGGCCAACCTCCCACTTCCATAGAAGTCAGAACTCAGAACTCAGAATTTGCCAAAAACCGAAGGCAGTCACAAAAATAGTTACCTGGTTGAGGCGCTGGGAAACCAAGCAACCAGCTTGCCTCCCTAATAAGCGGCTGTGGCTTGGCAAGCTGCAGCCACCCTGGGGAGAGAACCACCAGCATCTAAGATCCACCCCATGTTGGAACTTGTGGCGTTGGGAAACCAAGCAACCAGCTCACCTTCCTGGTAAGCGGTCATGAGCCTACTGCACATGGGTTGAGAATCAAACATCCCACCCCCCACCCATCCGCTGTGGGAGCCAGAGATTTGAGCATCTCTTGGGAAGGTTGACCATATGCAATATAGCAAATAAGGGGGATTTCCTTCTACCATCTCTTTGAAGGCAAATATTTTTATCACTGTTTTGCTTTGTTCTGATTAATGGTATTGCCCTATTCAATATTCTGTTTTGATAAGTTCTATAATGCTCTGTATTTCATTTGATTTTGCTATACCTGACTGAAAACACAACTATTGTGAAGATAACGAGATATACTATGATACCTATTGCTGTTATCCCAGTAACTTGCTGTGACGTTCTGTATCAGTTTCACTACACTGTCTACATTGTCTTTGTTTCATCTTGTTCTGTTGTATTTTACTACCTTCAAAATAATACAAAAATTTTTTTAAAATAGTTACCCGTAAAATGAAGCAGCTTTATTAAGCTCCACCTGGAGGTTTCTCCTGCTTTCCTTCTGAGCCCAGGGACTGTCACAGCCCAGGGAATGTCTCCCTGGCATCTCGCCTGCCAGGGAGATGAGCAGGAGAGCAGAGCCTTTGGTTCCTTCCTCTTGTCCCACAGAGGGCAGGGTCCTGTCATCTTCGCCCAGCTGAGACCACACAGCCCAAGGGGACCATCACCTCTCACAGCAGAGGGGCTACTTTAGGCCCAAGTGATGGCTCCCAGTCACATGATTCCTGGTGAGCAGATCTGGGCTATACTCTCTCACTGATTCCTTCCACGTGTGTCGAGCGAGGGCCTGTGGAGGAGGCAAAGCCCCTGCCCTACCCACACGAGGAAGAGAGGAGAGATGGACAGTGAGCAGTCTGTGGTGGAAATCAGACCAACATGGGGATGGAGAGACAGCAAAAACTGAGTCCAAGGGCTTGGGACATTCATCTCCACTCAGCAGAGCTGCAGCCTGAGATTGCGATGGAGTCACTACCATTGACACAGAACCAGTGACACCGCCCCCCCCCCCCCCCCCGAGAAGATGAGCAGGAAGGAGACAGCAGCCGAGAAAACTTAGGGGATTACAGCCACGCAGTCCCCAGTCCTCACTCAAGGGGACACAGCCAAGAGCCACCAACCTACAGTCATCCTGCCCCTATGCAGCCAGTGGAAGCTTCTCCACCTTCCATAACAACATGCCTTCTCTGTACAGATGGGCAGGTTGCACACTGCTCAATCTCATGCCCGCTGCGGGAATCTCTCCACCACTCCTGTTCCAGCACACTGAGGGGACCAGGGGGTCAGTCCCTGGAAACCCTTGGCCCCAGGGAAAGATCAAGAGGAGAGGCCTCTGGGAAGTGACTGGGTCCCAAGGGCAAAATCCTCACACGTGTGGCATTAGCACCCCCAAAGAAGGCCTAAGGGAACTTGCTTTTGCCTCTTCCACATGAAGCTGGCAAGAAGAGGCTCACCTCGCTGGACTGGACGGGCCACAGGCCTGGCCTCTCGTCTCCGCTTCTCAACTCAGTGGCTTAAAGCCATGCCCCAGGGGTCTCAGGGCACCATGGATCAGTAGCTGCAGCTCAAGCCCTTGATGTTCAGCTGCTCAGACCCCTCTGCCCCAATGGAGGAAAAGAAGTGGGAGTCCGCACCCTGGGATGGAGGGAGACACCCCAAAGCAGGCCTTAAAAGGAATGGGAATCGGTGCATGTGGAGTGATGATTGGAGGAAGTGTTCTCGGGGAAACCTGTGAGCCAGCAGGAAGGGGCCAAGCAAGAAGGCACCAATCGTGCAGGCAGTTTGGCCGAAGTGCTCACCTCAGCTAGCGGCCAGGTGAGCCCTGGTATATGGACTGCACTCTAGAGAGGGGCCAGCCCAGAGGAAGGGACACTGTCATGCTTCCATACCATCACAGCTGCTGGCAGCTGTGAGGGGACACTGGGCAGCATGGCTCCTGCACACCAAGGCAGCTCCTAGAGGAGTCACCACACAATCCCAAGAAAGAAAACCCACAGGAGTCGTGGGGCAGGGGATACAAAAGCATAAAGCCACCCAAGGGCCCTGAGCACAGGACCAGTCTGCCCTTGCCTCTGGGGCAGAGCAACACGGCTACCTCGGTCCAGGAAAAAGAGGCCCAGGGCACATCTAAGCACCCTGCTGTGCATAGGCCAGCCCAGCCACCAAGACTGGGCACACCCACAATGCCCATGGTGCTGGTTCTAAGAGAGCTGGGGCACAGGAATAGAGACCCAAGCCAAACTGAGCACCCCCAGAATGGAGGGGGAGGGCGGCTCCACTTGTGGCCAGGTGACCAAAGTCTTGCTCTTGGGGCAGTGAACTCGGGACAGCTTTGTCCCAGGTCTTTGCCCCAGGAATTACCTCGGCTTCATCCTGTGTCAGGGGGATGTCCTGGTTAGAGCTCTTGAGTCGCTCTGCATTCCAGGTCTTCTGATAGGGTCTGAACCCCTGGTTCTGAGAAGAAGGCAGGGGTCCCCAGGACTGTGCCCCGCCCTGCTGCTCCCCTGCTGCGTGCAGTGGAAGTCTGTTGCATCCTGTTGGATCTGATGTTCCAGAGCAGGTACCCTACACACACAGAGCTACCCTAAAGCACAACATCACGAATCCAGAGACAGGGGAGACAGAACACTTAATGACTTTGAAAATGAGAAAACAGGTGGCGGGTGGTCCCATGGTGTTCAGTGTCCCCATGGGCTGGTCTGGGGCTTCGTTCGGATCATAAGGATCGTGACATCTGTTTGACTGGAAGGGAGGAGGAAGTGCTGTTTCTGAGCATTTGGAAATGTCATGTGTGAATGTATTGCAGCCAGGATTTCCCTAGATAGGTCAAATTAAACAGCTCTAAGTATCCAATCCACTGCTTCCTTCCGAAGTGGTCACCATGGGAGGCTGTGCACTTATGTTAACAAGACTTCCTCTGTCTCAAATTATATTTGTACTTCATTCTTTGGAATTGCCTTCCAGTTCACTTAGAACAACAAAAGAAAAAACTTACTATTTCAGAGTCATATACCTTATTTGTGATCCAAAACAGTAGTTCTCACTTTGAAACAAACCACTAGAATTTGCCAGACTTATCTCTGAGCAAATCTGAGTCATTTCTAGATGTGAATTATACTCACAAAGAACCAAAGTTGGCAAGGCGTTTATCTTCCAAAACCACCTTCCACTGCGGGCTTGGGTTGCAGTTAGGATAAGAGGGCACCCAGGGTTACATGAGCTATGAGGCCTGCCATGCCCAACTCTAGCCAAGGCACATGCACATGGTCCACCTCAGCCAGGGCCACCGTCCAGCCGGCCTTGGTGTGGAGCGAATATTTTCATTTGATGCCTCTTCTGCTCCTAGCATGCCACACCCAGGCCAAGAGGGACATGAAACCGTCCCAAAGGCCAAGCAGCAGCTCTGAGAACAGGCAGTTATGGTCACAGGTGGTATCCAGATTGTCGCCCATAGGACATAGGTGCTGGCCTGTCGTGCTGACTCCACGCTTCTAAGGGACCTGCTGGGCGGGGCCGAGAGCTGGTGTGATTGGGGTGGGGTTTTCAGTCCCCTAGTTGAACACCAGGGCACTCAGCTGCCCACTCACCTGGAGACAGCGCCTGAGGGAAGTGACCTGCGCAGGTGCCCTGGTGCCTCACTCCTCCCCTCCGTGGCTGCGTCCACAGCCTGAGAGGCCCCGTGCTCAGGCCACGTCCTGCCTCAAGCTCTGCATGTGTCTACCTGCTCTGGAACATCAGATCCAACAGGATGCAACAGACTTCCACTGCACGCAGCAGGGGAGCAGCGGGGCGGGGCACAGTCTAGGGACCCCTGCCTTCTTCTCAGAACAGGGGTTCAGACCCTGTCACCTCACGTCACCTCCACAAGGCATCTATGCACCGGTTTCCTCTTCCCCACCCTAGAAATCACAGCCTTCACCCTAATCTCTGGCCAGCTCCAGGTCCCGCCAAGCCCTGGCCACGTGGACTCCCAGGACCTGATGTTCCCACGCATGTGCCAGCCTCCTCCAGAATCCACACGAGGAAACATGGCCAGCAAGTGGCCTTGCCAGTGGGCACCAATGCCCCACTGGGCACCCTTCCCCACCCAAGGTTTCTTGGATTCTTATTTCCCATCATCCACGTTCTCTTACTGAGGCCTTTGCCTTCTTTGTTACCTGTGTTATTGTTCATCTCTCCAGCCACCCCAGGCCCCTCTTCCTGACTGAGTGTTGGCCCCACGGGACAAGTTCTTATCACCACTCAGCCTTGGGGACTTCCCAGCTCCAACCCTCAACCCGCATCCCTGCTGCTGCCGCGAGGCTCACCCTTGACCCACTTCTGCTGCCACAGCTCCGCCCCTTGGGCCAGATGGGGGCTGCACACCATCTGGAGAGGGCGCCCAGACACACCTGCAGTGGCACGTGGGCAGTGGGACACAGGAGACTGCTCCAGGATTTGCAGGTCTGGGAGGCCCACACAGTATTTTCCAGCTGAGACGCCTGCCTCCCTTCCCGGCTTGAGACAAAACACCAGCTCAGCTCAATGGCAGCAGCACCAACACACAGACTGAGAACGAGAGGGTGGAGGAGGGGGGGACCTTGTGGGATCCCTAGAGATCGCAGGCAGGAAGAGGGATTCAGCAGGCAAGTGGACCCAGGCCTCCTCCCAAACAGGAGGTCAGAGAGGCCTTAAAATCCTACTGTGTATTCAGGTCGAACAGGGTCTGCGCAACAAGCAGAACAGGCCAAACTCACCAGGATGAACATGAAAAAGGCGACAGCAACAGGTGTCAGTAGGACATGAGTCGCGGCTGCAAAAAAAAGCAGATAGATGATCGGAGGCTGCTTCAGACAGGTCTGAGCGGAGAGGGCAGTGTGGTTGGCAAGGGCCTCAGAAACACCGGGGCTGACCGTGTTGTCACTAAGAAAGGACAGCAGGGACAAGGAACAGGCACCTAGGAATTCAGGCTCCTCCTGGGCCAGGACAACTGACAGGTACAGGTGGGGACATCGGTCTAGTCAGAGCCAGGTGGTGGGGTGGTGGCCTCCCAGGTGACGGGTTAGAGCCCAAGGAGAGGCGAGGATGTCTGCATCCACTGATCCTGCTGCTCTGCCCTGAACAGCTACGGGGTTCACGTTGCAGCCGGGTCTCTGCCGGGACAGCTGGGCACCAGCTCCCTAGCTCTGCATCCAAGTCAATTTCAGACTGAAGCTCTGGTGACAACTGCAGACATGACTGAGCCATTCCCACTGCTCCTGTGGCCACTCCAGCTCAGGACAGCACGGAGGTCTCTGCCTCGGTTTTCCATTTCCGGGTTTATGAGCCTGCATTCTTATCCATAAGTAATGATCCCCGGACAGCACTCTGACTTAGTTTAGTGAAATGCTATAAGCAGTCAACTAGGAGGGAGGGAGGCAAGGAGGGCAGAAGCCCTGCCTGTCTGCCCTTTAGAATTGTGTTCTGAGCTCAGTTCTCATCTGCCCTGAAGCTCGGTGGCCAAATCTGTCACCCATTAACCCAAGCCCGTGACTCAGGCAGGAAACTCACAGTGTGGAAGGGCACCTGTCCCTCCATCTTGCCCTCTTTGGCTATCTTATCCCAATACCATGCCTCTTTTTTAGGCTCCCAGAAATTACTGGAATGGGAAAAGCCACTCCCTCATCCCCAGACCCTACTCGCCGACAGTCAGCTCTGCTGTGTCCTGGAAGAGGCTCAAGGGCGTCACGTCCCCAAGAGTTCATGGGCTGTGAGCAGGGTCCCTGGTGTGGTATGCTGAGTGGTGGAACTCTCACAAAGAGAGGCCTGGTCTACCAGTGACAAGGTCACGGTGCTCCCCTTATGGTGAGAAGGAGGCTGATCTCATTGCAGTGGACAAGTCCCCTGGAGGAGAAGGGGGGTGCGGTGGCCTTGGGTCTCACTAGCTGTGTGTGCACATGGCTGGCTCCCTCACTCCTGCAGCATGGGGCCCTCGCCAGGGCTCAGTCCCAGGCAGTTAGGAGCCTCATGGCAGAAGTATAAGCCAGAGACAGAGCTGGCTTTGTGCTTTATAGAGCGCTTGGCCTCAGATACTGCATCTTGTGATATCAACACACAAGGACCCGTTTCGTGTCCCAGCCAGGGCACCCACCAGAGAACACTACGGAGCTCAGCACAGACCCAGGGTTTAGTGAAATCCAGCTCCTCCCATCATTAGCAGATTCCACACAAAAATTCACAGTTCTTTAAGAATATAAGATTTCCAACCATGAAATCAACCTCCCCATTGTCACCCAAGCAAAAGTAAAAAACTAAAATGAAATCATCTCCATTTTGCCACTTAAAGAAGTCAATTTTGTAAAATGTCCTTTTCAGACTTTTTCTTCACAGGCCCTGATCTCAGGAGCCCGGCTTCTGCCCTGATGGTCACAGCATAGCAGTTTCTGTGAGAGCTCTTCTGGCATCTTCCAGGTCCCCATGGCTATCGCCTACTTCCTGAAGAGCCAGATCAACAGGGATCCAGGCCTCAGCCACACACTGCAGCACCACCTCCACCATGAAGATGCTGTGCAGTATGTACCACTCCCTCTCTGTAGGGAGAGCAGGGAGAAATGCACACCACTCCACTGCCCGAGGAATGAAACTCCGTGCTGAGACCCGTGCATCCCAGCACGTGGGCTTTCTAGGCCCAGCCACACTGACCTTGCCACCCCCACAAGCTACCCAGGCCATCCTTCCCACTTGTCCCTACTTCTTCATCACCTCTCTGGCCTCCATGCATGCATCTCAATGTAGTGCCACCCTTCACATGGAACCAATGTCCCCTCTTGAACTCCAGACCAGAGCCTGGGCTGGTCCCAGACCACTGCCTTCACTTTGGGCTCTCTCACGGCAAAAACCAAAACATAATCTTAGCAAGAGCCCTGCATACAAAATAAGCTTCCACCATGGGCATTGGCCATCTGAAAGTCTCGGTGCACAAGGGTCTGACCTCAGGTTAGCCAGCCTTTGGTTGCAAAGAGCAGAATACATTCTAGTCAGGCTATGCAGAAATAATTGTGACAGGGGATTTTCAGCTCACTGAATCACTGGAAACAGTCATTCACCAAACAGATGCCGCTTTCTGAAAAGACTTCGAAAGCCATGGGAAAAGGTGAGCCACCAAAGGGCCGCTGCCTCTCTCAAGTCTGGAGACTGGACCACACCGTCTGTGCTACCACCAAGAGACCACTGCAGCCTACCTTGGAATGCCTGCCTGGGACATCCGTGCAGATAGGCCGGGCTGAAACCAGTAGGAGCATCGTCACATGCAGGCCTGGCAGGAGAAAACAGACTGCGGTCCTCAGCTGGCTTCAGCCTCTTCTCACTCAGGCCCAGGTGAGCACTCCAGAGAGGCTGGGTCTAAACTCTTCCAGAATTTGGTGGGCAAGGGAGCCTGGGAAATGTAGTTCTTGGCTTCCAGGCCTTGCAATAGGGGCCTGGAGGGCAGCAGGGGGCAGGCCACCTACCGCACTCACAGACCTGCAGGCTGCAGGCGATTAAGCTTGCCCCTGACATTCGCCTCACCTCGCATGAACTCCCTGGCATTCTAGATTTCCAGCTGGCGATCCCTGCACAGCCCTGCCCTGCCTCCAACTGAGCAGCCTGTGACCCGCAAGTGGCACCTGAGCACTCTGAGGCAGTGTTTTTCAATAGCTCCCGCAAAAGGTGTACAGACTCCCTATTTGTGCAAACTGTTTTTGTGATCATGTTATTTAAAATGCAGACACATTAGAACAACTGTAAAATCTTCACAGTTACAAAACCTTATTTTTTAAAAAACCTATAAAAATTAATTTGCAAATTAAACACAAACAAAACTCTCAAACACATGGAATTAAGACTAACATTTCTCTAGTGTGATTAACGACGTTGTTTTGTTCACAGTGAATCACCAATGTCAGGCCTAATCGCAGGAAAATTCATTTGCTCGTTGTACATTTCACATGTTAACAGCTCGGTTCTTTTGATTTGCAGCAGGACAGCCCATCATTTCTGTGACTGTCAGTGTCGTTATCATTATTTTTCCTTTTAAACAATGAACTCATTTTTAACTGCTGATTTTAATGGGCCAATCAATTTAATGGTGCTCTCCAAAATAGAGAGCTGAGAAATTTAAAGCAGCATTTAATGAAAACTTCTTGGTGGATAATTGCTAATACCCTCACTGCTGACGACCTGCTGATGGCGGCACAGCTCCCTGTGGACCCACTGGGCCACCCTGGGCAGTGACTCAGTCCTCCTACCGGCCCTGCCCCAACTCCTGGGAACCCTCGGTCTGGTCCGGGTTTGTTTGTTTGTGCTTCGCTCAGCACCAAAAAGCTTGTAAACATGAATGTGAGCAGGAGCAGCTCAGGAGGGCAGCTCCTGAGAAAGGGACCTCTCCCTGCAGGCTGACCCAGCCAAGACAGGAAAGCTGACAGGGAAAATACCCAAGAGATGAGCGGATGAGAGGTGAGGAGGGAGGCGGCCAGCTACCCTGACAACTGACAGCTGAGTCCAGTGGTTGATTCAAGTGACCATGAGAGCCACTTTACACCTGTGAAATTGGAGAAATCTACAAGACAGACAGTGCGGGTGTCTCCATCCGGTAAGGAGTGGGCACTGGTGAGAAGAGGGGGCTGGGGCAGTCCCTTAAAGAGCAAGCTAAGGGAAATCAGCCGGCTTGGCCTTCCGGACAAGAGCACCACCCTGCCTGGAGATCCCACAATGCTCGCACAGGTCCTTCTCTGTTCCACGAGAAGACCTGTCTGCAACATTTTAGTTTTGAGCAGGGATTCTGGTAATTGTCATTATTAGAGCAGTGGATAAGCAAAATACAGTCCCAGTTGGTTATGGAACACTTGGAGGAGATGGGAGTGGTGGGCCAGGGTCCACACAGTAGCACTGATAAATCTTTAAAAGCATTGTGTTATCACAGGCATTAGGTGGAGCCCTTTGTTCAAGATCACATTAAAATTAGAACACATGCATGCACAAATACACCTTGCACTTCCCAAAAGTGCACATCCACTTCACAACACACACAAATACATCCCAAGGAAGATGCAGAATGGAGACCTGAGGAAAAATATAAAGAATGGAAAAAAGAAAAGAAAATAAAACAAAGGGGACTCTGCCGGGACTTCTACTACTAACAGAAGTGAGTGATGAACGTCACTCTCAGAAGACCATAAAAGGAAACTGGATCTGTGACTCCTGTCTGCAAAGCAGATCAATGAGTGTAAGCACTGTATGTGGAGTGAGGTACAGGAGGCAAAAGCAGGTCCTAACGTCTTGGAATAGAGGTGACTCAGCTGAGATGACCTGGAGAAGGAGAAAGATCGAGTTAGGGAGGGAGGGGGAAAATAAAGAGCTGACTTTTAATTGAGGACTTGAGTGTCATCCAAGCAGGATCACGGAGTCCGATTTGGACAGACAGGTCAGGACCCCAGAAGAGAGGTCTAGGCTGGTTTATTGCTCAGTTAATAGGCAAAGTTACCATAATCTAACAAAGCAGTTCCACACCAGATGCTTCAGAAAATACTATGAGATGACTGCTCTTACGGTCATTTGAGGGCCCAGGCAGGTCACATCTTCTCTCCGCCACCCTCAGGTGCCTTCATTGGAGGTGGCAGAGTGACCAAGGTCAGCACCCTAGTCCAGGAGAAGGAGGGGAAGGCAAGGATACAAGGCCAGTGGCCTGGGTTGTGGGAGATTAACCAAACGCAGCAGCCGATCATGCTTTTATCTGGTTGGCTGGAAGTCAGATGTCCCCCACAGCTGGCCACTCCAACCACTAGGGAGCCTAGAGTCCAGCCCGCCACAGCTCTGTGAACACAGAAGGAAAGGAGCAGGTTGAGAGGTGACCGGAAGTCTGCACGCTGGCAGCAGGAGTCACAGAAACAAAAGCCCAGGAAGCAGAGGCAGCGAGGAAGGAAGGCGCAAGTGCAGTCAGGTGAAGGACCCCCGCAGATTTGGTCAGAGCAGGGGAAGCAGCAGCACCTGGTCACAGAGCCAGCAGAGTCCCAGGAAAACCCTCACAGGCAGAGAGACAGCACAGAGAAGAACTACCCCCCACTCCAGTCACACACAGTCCCCAGCGTCCCGGCGACTCAACCCGCGTGCCCACAACTGTGACCTGCTCATGACTCACCAGCCTGGCTTCCTGTCACACCCAGGCTCACCCCTGACTCCAAACAGTGCCTGGGATCTGGTTTATGGGGCCCAGAGCAAGACAAGGCCCTCGCCTCATACTCTGCAAGCGCAGCCTCCCTCTCTCGAGAGCCCTGCACCACCCTTCCCGCCCCAGGGCCCAGCCACAGACCCGAATTTATTACAGAACTCGGAGCCTGATCTCCAGGTCCTGTCATTGTGCAGTCCCGCTGGCTCCCTCCACAACAGATGGGCTGCTCCCTAAATTTAATGCCCCGAGTGACAACAACTGGAAAAAAGTCTACCTCACTCAATGCTGCACTCCTATGAAAATAAATAAAATCTGTGTATCTGATGGCAGGGTCAGGAGATGTTTTATTTCCACACATTTGCACTGCACCTTTGCAGGCTGAGCCCATGAATCCTCAGTCTTTATCTCGCTGCTATATTAAATGGGAATTAGGTGAAGTGACAGTAACGGCTCCCGCACACATTTGGGGGAGCAGCCAGCAACTTGGGCACAGCAGCCCAAGAAAGACCAGCAGCTCTCCAGGGACCGGAACAGCATCTAGATCCTAGGCTGCCCCGTCTGCCTGCCTCAGTGTCCCCCAGGAAAACCCAACTGCAAAAGCCCAGCTTTCCCACACACTTTTCCCAAAAGAAGTTTGTTTTCCAAACCTGCTTCCTGAGGACAAAACAACTGGAAGGCGGTGCTGTTGTGGGGGTGAACTTAGAGCTTTAGTACTGACCATCAGTTAGCCTGGTAAGCCTGGGTTCTCGAAGGACAAAGCAGGACAGAGGGTGACAGAAAGTGGTGGAGGGCTACGAAAATGTGTGAGGATTCGTCGTCACCTTTTGGGGCCAAGTGTCCCCAAGACATTGGAAGGCCTGGAGCTCTACCCAGAACAGACCCTGGCAGCACACAGAGAAGGAAGGAGGGGGAAAGAGAGCACAGGAAGAGGAGGCACTCGGCAGCCCTCGCTGTTCAGGATCCCTGCACCTGCAAGGTGGCTGTAGAGATCCCTATGAGGTCCCTCGCCACAAGGGAGGATGCACGCGGGGCTCAGAATGCCACCTCAGGGTCTGATTGCATCGAGGCATCTTGGGAGAGGCACCAGAAAGTGAGGCCTGAATGATGGGTAGAAATCCACCAAGAGTTCAGGGCCCAGAGAAGCATGGGCGTCCAGGTCTACACTCAAGGAGGAGGCCATGTGGGCAGGAGTGGGCTCCACCATCCCCACTGTGGTCCTCAGGACAGCTGCAGGCTGCAGACAGCATTCATCAAGGTGCTGCAGGTTTTCTCCAGCCTTCACGTCTACCTCCCTCCTAATGCCGTTTCCCCTCGGAGCACTTCTCCCTTGGAGTGGACTCCGGGCCCCACACCACATGGGCTTCCTTCCCTCTCCTCCTTTCATCGGTGGCTCTTCTCTCCACTCCAGGAGGCTGCAGGGCTCGGAGCGCAGAATCTCCTCTGCTCACCTCTTCTGAAGCTGCGGCTCTCTCCCCGCACTCTGAACTCCTGGCCAGCTCTGCCCAGAAGGTCCTCTGTTAGGTATCTGATCTCAGCACCCCAAAACTGCCTCCCCTCACATCTTCTCCAGAGCCAACAAATGGCAGCATTGCTATCCCGAACCCCAGAGCCATTGTGGACTCCTCTCTTCTGTCTTTTCCTTGTCTGATCCTCTAGCAAATCCTACACTGTACTTCCAAAGTCAGCAGAACTGACCAAGGAATGGAGGAGTTGCCTGTTGCAATAAGAATGACTTCCTTTAAGCTCTGAGAATCAGGCAAACCTGAGTTGTGATCCCTGCCTACGGTCTTCAGCTACTTGAACCCCAACAATGGTACTACCGAGCCCCAACAATGGTGTCACCTGTGAACAATGAGACTTGACCACGCACCACAGGGACCATGTTAGCTCTCTATCAGGATGACAAAACTTCTGAGAAAATCAGTTTACAGGAGGGAGAGTTACTGTGGCTCATGGTTTCAGAGGGTCCTGCCCATGGTCCCTGGCTCCACTGCTTTTGGGCCCAGTGAGACGGAGCATCACGATGCTTCACCATGTGGCAAACAGGCAGCAGAGGACAGGTCTGGGTGTGAGATACAGTCTCCAAGATCATACCACCATGACCTCCCTGCAACAAAACCCTCCTCCTAAGCCTCCAATGCCTCTCAACAATGCTATTAAATTATGAGCCACTGATGGACGAACCCAGTGTAAAGTCAAAGCCTACATGGCCCAGTCACTTTCCCAAGTCCCACTGCCCAATGCAGCTGCACTGAGAACCACGGCCCCAGTGCATGACCCCAGGGAACAGATCACACCAGGTCAGCAACAGAACAAAAGGAGGCCACATCTCTGTGCCAAACACAGCAGCTACTTCACGAATACCGAGCTGTCCTGTGTCACCTATGGTCAGCCCTGAGGCTTGACTTTCCTTTGCCTTCCCAAGATCCTTGTGTCAAAAATTCAGTTCCACCAATAAATTCTCTAACTCTTCAAGCCTTCCCTCTCCAATTCTGTTTGGTGTCCCAGAACCTCCTGAACTCTCTTCCTCCTCTCTGTGGGGTGGGTCCCTGCACGAAGCACATAAACGTGCTTGGAGGAGGAGGTAGAGCTGGTTATCCACCTGGACCTTCCCAGCCAACGTGTAGCAGCCTGTGCAGTCCTGCCTCCCGCCCTGTGTTTAGGAGGATGTGCTTGCTCAGATCTGCCAGCAGGACTCCCCTCCTTGGGTTAATTATGCCCCCACTAATTACACGGGCGGGAATCGTGGCATTATTAGAAGGGCTGGGAACAGAGCAACTGTCGATGTCCGCTCCCGGCCGGCAGGAAGGACACACGACAAAGTCTGGTAGTGGACAACCTTTTCTTTTTATTTTCCTTCTCCGTACAGCCTGTCCTGGGATCGCTCCCAGCCGAAGCCTCCTCTGGTCCGCTCCCCGCGGCTCCTTCCGGGCTTCGCTCCGAAGCCTCTACCGGTCCGCTCTCCGCGGCTCCTTCTGGGCTTCTACTTCCGGGCTTCTACCTGGCTTTTTCTTCCGCCCAGGGGTGGCACCGGTATATATACGGGTACAATGTCCAATCATGTTAAAGTAAGCAAGGCAAGCTGATTGGCTAACATCATCAGTTGCCAGGCAGACTATATTGTTGAGCGGGTTGTTTACGCGGTAAGCAGGAAACTAACATATTCGATGGGAGGGGTAATCTACCTCAGGCTTTGCTCTTTACCACAGGCCGCACGTCCGCCGCGCAAGGCGAGCTATCACAGACGCGGCTCCCAACAAGCAACCAAGGAAGGAAATAAGGAGTTAGCTTTGGCCTCACACTTGAGTCTAGTCTGAATTCCAAGGAAGATTCTGACGACTTTTCTCTTCCTGCTGTGCATGCAAGAGATGGAAATTTCCAGACCATGATGTGGTGGCCTGTGGAAGCTGCAGGGGTGATGAGACAAGAGTGGAAAAGCAAAGGGGTTCCCTAACTCTAGGACCCCTCAGCTGCAAAACACACCACCTGTTTAATAAGAAACTCAGAAAAGGACAGGTGCAGGGGAAACACTGGCCATTCACTGCCCACCTCCCAGTTCAGGAACTTCCACTGTAAAAGGGAAATTGAGGAAAAGTGCCATTTATATTGAAATCACCAAAGGAAAAGCTAGAGGGCTCAGAAGCACAGGGTGGGGTCTAAGCCGAGGACTCCTGGGCTCACCTGCCCTACTGCAGAGTCGCTCACACCCCCTGAATACCCACTGGGACCAAACTTCTGGGAATCTACCCCCTGCCTGGACCATAGCTACTTGTAGCAGTGTGGAGATCTTTGAAGGAGAGGTCAGCAGCTACCAGCTGTGGGGAAAGGGCTCCTGGTCATCAGGCCATCTGGGACAGGCCTCTCCAGAGCCACTGGAGGACAGTTCCCCAGTCTGACAATCGGACCTGCCTCCTTCAGGTGGGGGTATGGGCCTAGGTGCAGCCCTGGGCCAGACACTCCTTGGCAAAGGTGAACAAGTACAAATCTGTGTGGCCCAAAAATATGTGGTATTTACTTACAAGGGAGAGCTAGTGAATAGCTTGTTCATCCTGAGGTTTCAAAAAATGGGTAAGTGAGGTGGTTTCAGGTTTTAGAAACAGTCTAGTGGAATCTTTCAATGTGTTCAACAGCACATGCACACTGTAGAAAAAGCACTAAGCCCACTTCTATACAAACATGTGTCCTTGTGCACAAAGTCACATATTCGAGGATGTTCATCACGTAGTTTGAGGTAGCAGTTGAGCAGAAACTACCAACACACTCGACACTGTGGGAGGGATCAGGCAAATCAAGGCACAACTTTGGCAGAGAAGAAAGAGGTTAATGACAGTGAAGAGAACTGTGAAACCACGGAAGGGCAGACCAGATGACTCCAGGTCTGGAAATACCACTTTTAAAGACTATGCACATTAGCGACCAGAAGGCTCCAGACAGAAGTACACCAGACTGATATATTTTGTTATGGTTCCGGGCAAGAGAATGATCCCAAAAGCTCATGTGTTCCAAGGAGGGGCTTTGGAAGGCAACTGGGTCACGAGGTGCCATGCTCAGCATTGGGGTTATTAGTGGGATGGGCTGCTGTGAGGTGAGCAGCTTTCTCCCACCATGCTCTCTCCACCATGATGCTTCCGCCTTGGAGCCAGTTACCTGGGACTATATACACTGAAATCATGAGCCAAAATGAACATTTCCTCCTTTAAACTGTGTAAGGCAGGTTTTTGTCCCAGTGTGTTACCCCAAGGATGGAGGTGAGAGAATCTAGACAGGCTGATGCAAAGAAGCACCTGGGGAAAGACATCAGGTTCCAAGGGTAGCAGCAGAATTGTGACACCTACACCCAGGCCACAGGCATGCAGAGCCAACCTGGGCCTCCAAGGCGATAACCTGGGGCCTCACCATCCCATTGTTGTCCAGCTGGGCTGGGGCACCAGGACTCACGGAGGGGCCACACTCAGAGCTCCTGAAGGAGTGCCCCACTGCCTGGAGCAAGTATGCATGACCTCCAAGACCCTAGAAGAACAGCTACAGTCACTCACAGACAGCAAAGTCCAAAGAGGTCCTGGAGCAGAGCCTCTGAGTGGCCACCCGGGTACCCAGGACCTCCTCATCCTCAAGCAGCAGAGTGGGGCATCTGCACATCCATGTGATGGCAGCTCTGGGACATGGCCACTGGACTCACAGCTCACATGTCTACTACAGAGTCCCTGCAGCCCTTAGTCTGGGCTTCTGAGTAGGCTGGCCATCCTGTCCACAAAGCGCCCAAGAGAGTGTGTCCTCA